CTTTGAAAGGGTGGAGAAACTCTCTGATCTAATATACAAGCTGGAGCACACTCACCAGAGGAGAGGAGAGAAGCTATCAGATTATGTAGCTCGAGTAGACAAGGTGCTACGACAAGTCGTGCAGAAGAAAGGACTAGATCCTCTGGCAGTTGACAAGACTCAATTAGATCAAATCCTGCAGGGGCCTCGACCTAATCATCCCATTGTCCTCAAGATCCTTCTGAAAGGTCCAAATCATATCCCTACCTATCCAGGACTATTGAGAGAAATTCGGGCGGAGGAGGCCCTAATAGGCCCTCATGTTCTGAAGGCTTCACTTCCAAAAGATATAAAGTGCATTTTTGCCCTATGCCAGCTCATGGTTACCTTACAGATGAGGAAGATGCTGGAACTACCAGTGAGTCAGAAGTGAGCATGAAGAGACAGGATGCTGCTCACCACTCTGTTGATATGGGGGTAAAACAAGACCTCGCTCAGTTAGCTCAAACTCAACGCGAACTATATCAAACCATAAAGGAGCTACAGAAGAATCAAGCCACCTTATGTCAGGCTGTAGCAAGTATGGCTGAAGCACAGGCTTATGGGCCTGACCATAGAGCCAACGCTCCACCTCCAGTGACCGACTTCATGCCCAATAGGAGAATTCCTAGTGTGACTGGAAGAGAGTGTTATCAATGTGGGAAATGGGGTCCCTTTCGAGCCTACTGACCAGAGAGGGGACGTCCATCAAGCGTGGTCCCGAGGACCACTGAGGGGTCCCAGAAGGTGCCATATTCCAAGCAAGGGGGAAACTTCAACGGGCCCCAGTGAGGGAGCAAATTGGGCGCCCACTCAACCTAACCCGCTCCAATGTTAAGGATGCAGCACAGAGACAGGAGAGGCAAAGTTCTGTGGTTAAGACTCCACCTACCCCGAATACCAAATCCTCTCTCTTTGTGTCTAAACCTCCATCCCAGGGATGCAAGACACGTTTAGAGTTTCTTGCTTTAAAATGGGCGGTTGTGGATAAGTTGAAAGACTACCTGTATGGAGCGGAATTTGTAGTCAAGACTGACAACAATCCACTGACCTACCTCTTGACTACCTACAAGTTGGACGCCACTGGACATAGGTGGTTAGCTGCTCTGTCCGGATTTCAGCTTAGTCTGAAATATCGACCCGGGGCCGGAAATCGTGATGCCGATGCTTTGTCCCGAAGACCTTACGATTCTGATCATAGAGGAGAATGGGCTCATCTAACCCCAGGGGGAGTTCAGGCCTTGTGTCGAGGAGTGGAACACAGAGGAAAAGGTGCCATTGGAGCAGAAACAATTGGCATGATGGTTGCTGGTGTTCCGAAGGTGTACTGCAACCCTGCTCAATTAAGGAGCTCAGACCTTCCTACTTTCAATCGGAGAGAATTGAGAGAAGAACAAGCTAAAGATCCCTTGGTTGGATTGGCTCTGGAGGCCTTACAGAATAACAATAGGGAGTTATTGTGGACAGACTATCCCAAAGAGGCTAAACTGATTCACCGAGAATGGGACAGATTGCACCTTCAGGAAGGGGTGGTCTACCGAAGGGGCCCCTCTGATGGTTTAGAAGAACACCTTCAACTGTTTATTCCTGAGAAGTACCGAAAGAGTGTGCTGAAGGCACTGCATGATGAACACGGTCACTTGGGATCTGATAGAACTTTTAAATTAGTTCGGGATCGATTCTACTGGCCTTACATGAAGACCGAGACAGAAAGCTATTGTCATTCCTGTTTACGTTGTATTCAGAGGAAGACGTTACAGAACAGAACTGCTCCAATGAGCCACCTTGAAAGTCAAGGTCCCATGGATTTAGTGTGCATTGATTTCCTGTGTTTAGAGCCTGACACCAGTGGACAAGGAAACATCTTGGTAGTAACGGATCATTTTACTAGATATGCTCAGGCCTACCCCACCAGAGATCAGCGAGCTTCCACTGTGGCTAAAGTATTAGTGGAAAAGTTCTTCTTCCAATATGGGTTGCCTCAGAGAATCCATTCTGACCAAGTCCGAGACTTTGAGAGCCGACTCATCAAGCAACTGCTAAGTTTGTTACAAATCCAGAAGTCTAGAACTACTCCGTATCATCCCCAAGGAGATGCACAACCTGAACGATTCAATCGCACGTTGCTCAATATGTTGGGGACTTTGACTAATGAGGAGAAACAACATTGGAGTCGACATATTTCCACTATTGTTCATGCTTACAACTGCACAGAAAATGATGCAACTGGATATTCGCCCTATCGCCTCATGTTCGGAAGAGAGGCTCGATTACCGGTAGATGTAGCCTTTGGCTTGTCCTCGGATCAAACTTCCGTTACCACTCACAGAGGCTATGTGGATCGACTTAGAAGAAACCTGGCATCTGCCTATGAGAGAGCTCGTTGTTCTGCAGAAGGCAGGGAACAGCGAAATAAGAGGAGCTATGACCTGAGGGTACGAGTTCAAAGTCTTCAGCCAGGAGACCGGGTATTGCTGAGGAACTTAGGACCTGCCGCTAGACATAAACTAGCCGACAGGTGGAGTTCACAAGTCTATATCGTTTGTAAACAATTACATGGCCTTCCAGTGTATCAGATTCGACCTGAAGGGAGAGAGGGACCTTTAAAGAATTGGCACAGAAATCACTTGCTATCCTTAAGTGAAGCTGTCCGTGTGCCGGTCAGTGAAGAGCCATCTACGCCTGTCCCACATGTTTCACGGAGAGCTCCAGTTACAAGATCCCAGAAATTGAGGACAGAGAGGGACAGTGAAAGTGACAGTGATGAGGATGACATGTATCCAGGTTGGACATGGCCTACTGATTATTCCAATGACACTCAAAGGGTCACTGATTCTGAACCAAATTCAGAGACTTTAAGGCCAGAAGCTCCTGAATTCATACCTCAAGCTTGTCCGGATGTCTCTGAAGAGGATTGTGTGACACCCGCTGAACTAGCAGATCCTTTACCTAGTCTACCTGAGCCAGAGGAACCTGTTACTCAACCGGAGCAAGAAAGAATAGAGTCCGTTCAGTGTTCACCCCTTCCTGCAGAGGATGACCCTGATGAAGGTCCATCCTGGCTCCTCGAGTTAAGGCCTAAACGACCAGTGCGTCCACCACAGAGACTTACTTATGATGCACCTGGTCATAGTACTGAGGAGGCCATCACTACAGTGCGAAGATCACCTGAAGTGAGCATTCCACCTGAAGAATCAAGAGCTAAATTGTGTTCCGCACAAGCCATCAACACACCTTGGGGAAGATGCCCTTTGTCTTCTTTTATTGAGCAATGTCGTAGGTTAGGTGTAATTCTACCCAGTGTAATTGTTTAAATGAATGTTTCATGGGCATGTTGCATCTGCCAACGCAGATCTTGGTTGTACCAATTTGTAGTTTCAAATTGTTCTTTGGAGGGACCCAAAGGTCTCAGTGGGGGGAGAATGTAGCCCCTATATAATATACATATATGTGCTATCACAGTGATTCCTGTTCCTAACTGTAAGTAGTTAACTTGTCCCTGTGTGTGATTCCCACTGACAGATTGGGACACACAGAATCGGTACAGCAGCATTCTGAAGGACTGATGTTCATCTGCTAAGCCGGAGAGACTGTGTTCGAGCGCCCGAACTGAGGCCTAGTCGCGTGGCTGAACCGGCCACCGGAGTAATCCAGCCTGCCCAGCTGAGTGAGTGGAGCCGACGGAGCTGACTGAGATCCTTGCCAGGTACCCTAGATGACCCTAGACGGCCCCTAGACGATCCGAAATGTCCTGCCGGAGGCATTAGAAGACTACATCCATTTCACATTTGGCGGTACATTGGTGCAGGGGGATAGAAATATCCGGTTATTCAGCGGCTCCTTAGGGGGTGAGCGCTACACACACCTACCCTCCTCAGGGTGGTTACAGCCACGATACAGTCCAACATCACACTCCGGGAGAACCCCACCTTGTCAGAGGTTGGAGGGAGAAGAACCAGTCCACACAGTCTTTTCTTGGTTTTACTTGAAAAGGATGAACATGACAATAAGCATGCATTTCAGCCACCCCCGAGTGGGATGATGGCACATCTCTTGATAGTTGCATGGTGATACAGATTAGAGAGAGAGAAGAACAGCCCAGAGTCCACGACTTACTTCGGCCAGAGGCCCACTGGCCAATATCGTCAGTCTTACAGCTCCTCACTATTTTCCGGAATCCCATCCTTGTCAGTCCTAGCTCGGTGGGTTTCCCCCTCCAGGGGAAACTGGGGAATATCTATAGCTCTACATAGTCCTAGGCCTGGTCCTGTCCTTCCCATGGACCAGCCTATATTTAGGGAACAGTCTCCCTCCGGAGACTCTGCATACAGTCTTAGAATTCTGCTCTCCTGTAATGAACTCTCCTTTTCCCCTCTCGGGCGCCCCCTATAAATCAGCTCTCCTGAGACACAGAGTCTCCCCAGGCCAGAGCTACATCTATCTCTAGGGCCCCATGGGGGCATCTAGTGGCCATTGGCCGTACTGCTCCTACCTACAGGTGGGATAGGCTTCCCTGAAGAGATGAGTCTTTAGTCCATAACATAACATCAGCCTTTCTTTTACCTACTGTAAATAGAGGTTCAGTCCACCCCAAATCAATAGTTCCATTTCGAGGAACCTGCTGAACTACAAGCTTGCTCCTCCAAAGATGTCCCATGTTGCAGAACATCCAGTATCAGGAATGTGACCTCCCTGATGATGCGGTTTTAGATTTATTGACTGGGATACTTGACCGGTGTGAGATTTAGGCATTTACAATTCCTTCTGATACATCAGTAAAACAATTCCCGGTAAGCTGCCAGTGTAGCAGCCCATGTAGGATGCCGGTTTCACAAAGCTCAACTCATAATTACCAAAATGTATCCATGAATAGCCAAAGCCTTTACAGATCAATAACTAATGAAACATACCTGGATTCCCCTTAAAAGGGCCAATCCCAAAAGATGATGTAATCTCTTCATAGACTAAAGAATTATACAGATTTATTTTCTATAAATATTTATTTTTGTGTTTAGCTCAGGTTTGAAAAGCATAATATAACATTTAGGGGAAAATATACAACCCAACAATCCAGCACTGGAGGCCAGTATGGCGAATATCTCCACAGCCACCAGATACTTCCCTCTGGTGCTCAGATAGGCCGGGATCATGGCAATCCAGACACTGCAGAACACCAGCATGCTGAAGGTGATGTACTTGGCCTCATTAAAACTGTCCGGTAATGTCCTCACCATGAAAGCCAGAACAAAACTCACAGCTGCCAGAAGCCCCATATAACCCAACACAGAGTAGAACCCGATAACTGACCCTTCATTACACCGAATGATGATCTTCCCAGGAGAGGAGTGCATGTCATACTCTTGGTAGGGAGGAGACACTGACAACCAAATAACACAAATCAGAACTTGGACAGAGGAGCAGATTATGACAACAGAATTAGAAATCTTCTCTCCCACCCACTTCCTCCAGTAGCTCCCAGGTTTGGTGGCTTTGAAGGCAATGCAGACTGTGACAGTCTTGGCCAGAACACAAGAGACAGTGATGGAGAAGAAGACCCCAAATGACATCTGCCTCATCATGCAGGTTATATCCACAGGACGTCCGAGGAACAAGAAGACACAGAGGAAGCTCAGCAAGATGGAGGCCAGGAGAATGATGCTCACAGTCCGGTTATTGGCTTTCACTACTGGAGAGTCCCAGTAATAGATAAAGTTTCCAAATACAAATAAAGTCACAGCTGCAAACGCTAAAGATGTCGACGAAAAAATTAAAACCAAAACATCATTTTTGTAGGACAGATAATCGTATGTTTTGGGGATACATTGCACCTTCTTCTCATCGGGCCACTCATCATCAGGACACCTGAAGCAGCTGTCACTGTCTGAAATGAAAAAAGGGGAATTAAAGGAGAACTATGGGGTTAAGGCTTTTCCTATGGGGTTCTATAATGCTGGTATCTCTTCGCTCACCTCCCGATCTACTGAGCCGACCTGTGACAGTCTCATTGTCACAGGTCGGCTAGAACTATGAGGAGGAGTGAAAAGCCCCTCCCCCCTCATAGTTCTCCTTTAACAAATGATTAATGCACAGAAAAAGAAATCATAATTAGAGGTGCACCGAAATGAGATTTTTAAAACCGGAACGTAACCGAAATGAGAGAAAAAATGTCGGGCCGAACTTTTTAAAATTGTTTAAAATATTTTATTTTTATTTAATTTTTTGATGAACTTTTACA